AAAAAAAAAAAAAAAAAAAAAAAATATATATATATATATATATATATATATATAAAGGATAAAGAAGATGTATAAATATAATTACTCTTTTATGAATCCATCTTTTAGCCTCTTCAAGAATAACTAAGTTAACTCATTTTAATAATAAGCCCCAATTTCTGACTTAACAAGCTTGCTTAGCTATCAAATATATGCCAAAAGATGAAATCGTAAGCATATAATTAATTATAAAATTCTTCATACTTTATCTCCTTCTTTCTGTCTCTATTTTCTTTTTCTTTAAATGATGCTACATAACATTACAAAAATTTAAAAAAAAAATTATGTTACTCCAGTGTTTGGTTGACGCAACTTGTAAACTAAACTTCATTAATTAAATTCTTAAAAAGCACACAGTCTTATGGCAAGTTGGCAACGCATGTGAGATGCATATAATTATAAAGTAGGAAAATTTGTCCTTTCGGAATGCACACGCTTTCCACATTCCACGAAATTATATAGGCAAGGAATATTTTTATTATTATTTTAACTTGTAAGTTGTGACTGACTCTTAACGATATAAAAAGTAATTTTACACAAATTGACTTAATCAGAGGCTGGAAAAATCTGGGTCGTAAAAAGAGAAAGTTCAGATGATGATCAAAATGAAAGTTGTTCCGGCAGTGCTAATTGGAATCAATGAGGATCATAAAATCCAACAAAAGTGTACTGAAACACAACTCAACAAAAAAGAAAAAGCAAATAACTATAAGATATATTTAACAAAAGGAAAACAACTTCATGACAGAGTGGAAAGAAAATTAGAAAAGGCGATTAAGAACTTTTTTTTTTTTTTTTTTTCTGTGAAATATGGAGGTTGATAGGACATACAAGTAGGGATGGCAAATATACCCTACTTCCGATCTATGATCTCCTCTCTCATTTAAGGTAGTAACTCCCGCTACAGGTGAATGGTTCTTCTCATCTAAAGAGTCTCTATTTATTGACCTTACATCACTATTTTAAAAAAGAAAACAAGTCTTTAAAATAAATACAATATATTTTAATTCTAAATAATATTATAAAAGAATCAATATTTTTTAAAATCTAAATAATATATTAGAGATTTGAATTTAAAAATTTAAATTATTTTTCCAACAGTTCTATACTAATCTTCTTATTTTAATTTATTGTTACTTATTTTCTTATATTGATAAAAAAAATTATATTTCTGTTTTCCAACAAAGATTACTAATCAGATGAGGGCACGAGGTTATATGCCAAAAATTGTTGTAGCTGAATTATTATCTGGCATGATAGTTAAAGACTTTAAAGCAAAATGTTATTTGCATAAATTTGTTTATATTATCCACTTGTTCTATTAATGATGGTAACAGACATGCATTGATTTGTTAAAAATAAGTTTTGTTGATCATTTTGAAAATATGTAATTAAGTTTTATCCTGATAAAAAGATATTAATACCCAAAAGGTTGTTAGTAATCAAAAGACAATTCACATAATATAGAGAAAAAAGTGAGCAACATATTGATGTGAAGAAAAAAGCAACCAAACAGAGCAGAAAAGCAATTCTTTTGCACCCTTAAATAGTTAAAATTCCGACTGGGCGAGTATAAATAACTCGAAGACCAAACTCGTGATTGATCGGTAAAATTCCGACTGGGCGAGTATAAATAACTCGAAGACCAAACTCGTGATTGATCAGTTAAATTCTGATTGGGCGAGTATAAATAGCTTGAAGACACCAGAATTTGAATGATATGTTTCTATCAATCCACTTAAAATATAACTCAGTTTATTTTTTCCCATTTTCCTTGAGATCGGAATTTGGATGATCACCCTTTACAAGACATGGATTATAATTTTTAGTTTATTTTTTCTCATTTTTCTGAGATCGGAATAGGTATTTTTCCGGTACCATGGTTAGCTGAGCCCCTACGCCTTACAGGCTCGGGGCTGGAAGGCAAGTGTACCTTCCCGGTCAGAATCCGATCTGACCTCACAATAGGTATTTTTCCGATTCCATGGCTAGTTAAGCCCCTACACCTTACAGGCTTGGGACTAGAAGGCAAGTGTACCTTCCCGATCAGAATCTAATCCGACCCCTCTACATGGGTGCACTCGGTCAGAATCCGACCTGTCTGCTCTACAGGGGTAACTCGGCCAAAATCTGATCTGACCCTCCCACATAGATACTAATCCGATATCAGGGATAAAATCCCATCTTTAATGACAAAATATTTTCCAAATATTAACGGTTATGAAAATCTCTGCACTCACAGGGCCCATGAGGCCCATAAACAAGAAAGTATAAGACCTAAAACCCTAGAGCTAAGCGGACAGATTACACTTTTGAATGCTCTGACTGGGAGGCTGAACCTAGGAAAAAACCCTAGTCCATCCTTTGGCCGGAACAATAATGAAACATTTTCTATCTAGGGACAATACTTTAATTTAGATTGTTCTTGTTAGAAGAAAAAAAAACTTCTTTTCTTTTACACACAATAATGATGATGAGAAATATATTAAAATAACATTATAAAAGAAATAGGAAAATATCACATAAATTTATTTAATGTGTTTCAGTCCCTCATGCCTACGTTCATATTAATGTTCATTATTTATTTCAAAATATGTTACATATATCTTGAAAATCCTCCCTTCAAGTTTTGTAGATTAAACTTAAAAATCCTTCCTCACAAGTTTTATGGGTGAAACTTGAAAATTCCTTCCTCACAAGTTTTCTGGCAAAACTTGAAAGCCTTCATTCACAAGTTTTCTAGCGAAACTTGGAAACCCTCCTTCATATGATCTCCTCTCTCATTTAAGGTAGTAACTCCCGCTACAGGTGAATGGTTCTTCTCATCTAAAGAGTCTCTATTTATTGACCTTACATCACTATTTTAAAAAAGAAAACAAGTCTTTAAAATAAATACAATATATTTTAATTCTAAATAATATTATAAAAAATAATAATAAAATAAAAAATTTGACGGGTACGGGTACGGTATACCCGATACCCGACGGGGAGAGATGAAAATCACATACCCGACGGGTACAAGTACGGGGACGGGTATAGATTTAGCTCGCGGGAACAGGGACAGGTATCATGAAACTCGTACCCGCCCCGCCCTTTTGCCATCCCTGCATACAAGCTCGTTCATCGCACATGTAGCCATGTGGATTTGTTAAGCCTTAAGATCCTTTTTGACTATGTACGCTCCAACCGTGGATTTCGTCAAATATCAGCGACATAGTACGGAAGAAACAATTTGTTCTTTTCTCACAACTTATTAATATCATATGTTTAAATATATTTTTTCCTTTAAATCTTTTTCTCTCTTAAATTTAAAATTATTTTTTGTTTTGTTTTTGTAATTCTAAAAGGTTTTATTTTACACTCCAAATAAATAATGCAATATTAGCTGGGAGTAGAATCACAACATTATGTTAAGGAAGGGCAAATCTTTTTTAACACTTATATATAAATATTGTAATATTATAAATAATTTATTATCAATTATATTTTTTATCTATGTTTTTATTATATTATATATCAATTATATATATATTTCTCTCTTTTTCTTTTTATAAATGTAAACTAACACAATAAAATTTATCTATCAATTTATAATATATTTTTTATAACTTTTGTAAGGGCCAAAAAAAAATTAAAGTAATTTTGACACATTTTAAAAAAATTGGGGAACCATGATCCCTCCGGTCCTCTCCTTCCCTCGTCTCTAGTATTAGCGAAATTTAATATAATATTTTCGTTAGAAAAGATGTTAATAGGTGAACTTTATACAACATTATTTCACAAATTCACTAACGAAATTAATTATAAGAAATAAAACAATTTTTTTTCTCAAATTACATAACTAAAAAAATCAATTTTAAGATTGAGGCATCAAAAATAAGTTCACTCTAAATTTGAGGAATTAAAAACATGTTAAAGTGAAGATCATATTATCATATCATGAGTGATGTATATAGAATGCAGATATACAACTACTTTTATTCTGTTACAAGTTTGTTATGTAGAATAGTATAAATATTAAAATTCTCTTTGTAAACTCTAGTCTATTTGTTCTTTTATCAATGATATCTTATTTCTATTTTCTCTCTTTCTGTTCTCTTCTACTGTTATCTATATCTTAATATAATATTAGAGCTATCTACATCCACTGAAAATGAGCCACCAATCATTGATACACGTACTATAGTATTGGACTTGAGGGAGTGTATTGGAAAAAATACAAGTTTCATCTATCATAGATCATTATATCCATCATTTATCCACATATCAAATCTATAGTACTAGACGTGAGGGATGTATTGAAAAAAATCTAAGTCCTACATTAACTAAAGATAAAGTAATTAAAAAGTATATAAATGAGAGACAACCCTTCACTTTATAAGTCGATTTTGTAAGGGTTAAATTAGATCAATAACCTTAACTTTACGATTCAATTTTATGACCTTCATTTTCAACCTACATTATCCTCTCAGCCACTTTCTTTATAGACTTTTTGTGATGCTTATTGGGTTATAGATCCTGATGGTCATAGGTCCACTTCTAGGACTGCAATTTATCTTGGCCCTAATATGATCTCTTGGTGGTCTCGCAATTATAGCCTCCTGTTGTAACTCGATCTAGTATCGAAGTCGAATATAGAAACTTGGCCCAAGCTGCTTCTGAAGTTCTATGGATTGAAACTCTTCTTAAGAAACTTGGTATTTCCATATAACTCTGAGAATATATTGTGATAATTAAAGTGTAGTTGCCCTAGCTCATAATCCAATGCTTCATGCTCGTACCAAACACATGGCAATTGATCTCTTTTTTGTAAGAGGGGAAGTTCTAGCAAAACAACTCATAGTTCTACATGTACTAACTCAGGAACAATGGATTGATGTTCTTACCAAGCCTTTGTCTCTCACTCAGTTTCTATCTCTATGAGACAAAATCAAAGTGATTGAACTTCTTTCTCAATCTCACTCACCTTGAGTTTGTGGGAGGGAGTGTGAATGATGTATATAGAATGCAATCATGCAACTACTTTCATTATATTACAAGCTTATTATGCATAATAGTATAAATACCAGAACTCTCTCTATAAACACTAGTTTATTCATTCTTATATGAATAATATCTTCTTTCTATTTTTTCTCTCTCTCGTTGTTCTCCTCTACTCTTTTTTTTGCAACTTATTATATCAAAATAAAATAAAACATTTTTGTAGTCTTGTAATATGATTTTAGTCTTTCAAAATTTTTATTATTTTATTATTTATTTTTTAAATATTGGAAGTTTTTAAAAATATTTCTATTAATACTTAACGATGATGCGATATATGTATTTAATTATATTATAAAATAGTAACTAATACAATGTAATTAGATATATACCATGTTACCATAAAATTATAAAATTATTTAACTTTATGAATATTAAAATTAAATAAAAAAATTTAAACAGATAAAACTAAATAAAATTGTGTTTATTATGACTTAGAGCATATTTAAACATGAAAATAATAAGCTAGGTAGTTAAATTGTTGTTGGGGTTTTGTTGTTGATGAATCTGCACAACATTCTTCGTTTCCCTAGTCCATATTCACCCCAACGCAATTGACAAAATAACAGGTCATCAATTGCCTAAATTCTTAAGTCTTAGAACGATTCAAACACTCCTTATTTGCTCAATTACGGAGACTCTTCGCTATATTCAGCATCAAATATGAAATATTGTGTAACCTCTAATTCTAAAGTCAATTGCCTTATTTTTAAGGTGTTTTGTGTTTATTTTAAGTTAAAAATAAAAGCTTGAAAAAATGTTTGGATTTTCATGTGAATTCACCCTTTTATGAAAAGTGAATCACTCTTCTAGTTCTGTTCGAATCCAAAGACGACAAGAAGCATACGGAATGCAAGTCTGTTAGCTGAGTAATGTGTTGTGGTGATTCAAGTTTCGATCATTGAGTTTTGACAAAAGCTTCATTAGACAATGTCTATCTCACATTTGGCGCCCCACACTCTGACTAACCAAGACATAAATCTATACAAAAACAAAATATAATAAATAAAAGGATTGCTAGTTTTGGGCCACGCTTGGGTCAGGTTAATTTATTTATGCATTGTTATTTACACTTTTCTTTTATTATTATCACAAATGTTTTAACAATTATGTCAGTTGAAAAACTAAAAAAATGAAATCTGTTTTCGATCACTTTAAACATGAAGTAAATTTATTTTTAATCACTTTAATTTAAAATTCTTTTTTAATTTATTTTATTTTAAAAAAATTAAGTTAATCAAATTTGCCTAATATTATCATTATTTTATAATAAGAGATTAATGATAATGATATAATTTGTCAATTTGAATTAGTGAAATCATGTATCAAATAATTTTTAATTTTTTTAAAATTTTATAAATTTAACTTATATATTAATTTTTTTTAATTTAATAATTAACTCATTAAAATTTATTATAGAATATGAGTTATTAAGTATTAGAGTAAGTAAATAACTCATTAAAATTTAATAATTGACCTTTTGGTTCTATTGAAATGATTTTGGGTTTGCATTCATCCCAAATCTTTTGAAAGTATTTTTCATTTGATGTTATTTTATCATAAAATATACTTATATTTTTATTAACTAAAAAATAATGATAATTTATTAAAAATATATCAAATTATCAATTGATTAATGCAAGATAAATGGTTGTAATTTATCACAATATGAACTTTCCACTTAACTTGACACAAGTAAAAATAAGCAATAACTTAAGAAGGATAATAAAATAATATTACGTATGAGTAATGATAAATCTATGTACACTTAATGAAGGGTGTATTTACATCCCTTGATTTTTATAATAATATAAGTATCTGTTTAGTGTTATTTTTTTTCTCCGATTTTTATAATTTAAACTCCTTGTTCCTACTTTTTTTAGTTAGTGTCAATTTTTGTATTTTATTATATAGTTTTTTTTTCTTGTGTTTTGATTCCTTTTGAGCTCTTTATGATTTATATTCAATTGTACATTATATTCCTATTGCGTTATTCTTCTCTTTTGTGTGATATTTATGTTTTTATTTTCATAGGCACATAACACTAATAATAATAATAATAATATATTTTTTGAAAATAAATTACTCCAATAATTCAAAGTCTAGGTTTGCCAATGCATATGCGAGCGAATACGAATGCTATGATATTGGTCTCTCGATACTTACAAATAGGTAGTAAAAAACTTGGTCATTATTAATAAATATCATTTTAAGTTATGTATTATTTATAACAACTTATATTTACGAATGTCGGAGAGTATGGATTTTTTTTCTTATCTTTAAATAGGAGCATTTGAAGATGCTAAAAGAGGAACGAGATAACATTTTGAATGTATTTTTTTATAAAGATAGAAAGATTATAAAGATAGTCGCAATGAGATTGAACCTAAGTCTTTATATTTCTAATTACTTCAATCTCTTCCCACCCAATCACTAGGCTAATTCTAGTAATCATTTTTTTTAAGTTCGTTTTTGGAGTATCTACCGCTGATAACAGTGATTAATCTCCTAACTACGTTAGAGACACCTCAAAGGATGGGATAACTGGCCCCAAAATTTAACGCGACTGCAAACACAAGCTGTGTAATCATTTCGAATGTATGATACAAATATATAACCTAAAAAAGTAAATAAATATAATAATAAATAATAATGGTGCAGCATAAATTGCATAATTCCCTCTAGCATAGTTATTTTCTCAATTCAAATAAATAAACAAGTATCTTTGTACCATATTCCTCTTGGATTTCATCCTTTACTACTGATCTCAACATAGCTTGTAAGTTGTATCACTAGAATCAGGCTGTTAATGAGAATTGAGGCAGTAAGGTGAAATGTTGTGGTTGTGATTGTAATTTGTAATTTATAATGACAAAAAGAAAAATGTGAAACCATGGGGAAAATTGGTAATTGGAATTGGGTTTTAGAAAATTGAAATGGAAGGATGAATTGAATTGAATTGAATGTGAAGGTGGAGAGTAGAGTAGAGAGTTTGAGTTCACCAACTCCATCCCATCCCACCAAACTTCCAATAGCTACCTACCTTTTCATTCTCAATTCTCAATTCTCATATACACACTAACCCTCTCTCTCTCTCTCTTCACTCTGCAATTTCCATATGGAGGCCAACGGAGCCACATGTCGAATCCCTTTGCAGGACCAATCCCTCGCCTTCTCTCGCCGACCCCTCTCATTCCTTCTCAAGTGACTCCCCTTTTCTTCTTATTCTTCTCTCAATTTCCAATTCACACACTAACCCTTTTTCTGATTCCCCTTGGCAGACCACGTGCACCAACCACAATGACGCTCAAGGCTTCGCACTCTGACTTCCAACTTGACCTCTCCCTCAGTCCACGTGTCAACGCCGTCAAGCCTTCCAAAACCGTCGCCATCAGCGACCTCGCCACCGCTCTCGTCCAGGCCGGCGTTCCCGTCATTCGCCTCGCCGCCGGCGAGCCCGATTTCGACACCCCCGCTCCCATCGCCGAGGTTTTCCCTCTGCATTCCCCCCTTCTCCTTCTTAACTCTCTGTTTTTTCTTTGATCGTCAAATTGCCTCTCTGTAGGCTGGGATTAATGCAATTCGCGAAGGTTACACCAGGTATACGCCCAATGCCGGAACCATGGAATTGCGCCAAGCCATTTGTACGAAGCTCAAAGGTTTGTTTCAATTTGATTCTGTTGTATGCTTCGTTTGGATGATTATAGGAGGTGTTAGTTTTGAGTTTTGACTTGGTGTTGCAGAGGAGAATGGAATTACTTATACTCCGGACCAGGTTGTGGTTAGTAATGGAGCTAAACAGAGTCTTGCTCAGGCAGTGCTTGCAGTTTGCTCCCCTGGAGATGAAGTAAGTAAAGGCCTTGAGTTTAGTTTATATTCTAAGGGATTGTTTGCATAAACTTCTGCAAGTACTTCCAGGAAGAAAAAGTAGAAAGAAATATTGAAATAAGCTTCTTCATCAATTAAATCTAGTTTTTACATAATTAAAAATAAGATTTTAGAGAAACTAGTAGGATAAAACTTTCCTTTCTATTTTTCTCTCTTAGAAGCACTTCTGAAGAAGTTTATCCAAATAAATTGTAAGAGTAAAATATTAAAGGAACTACCTACTTATGCTGTATAGTCATTTTGGCTAGGTGTGGATGGATGATTAATTTGAACGATGTTGTTTGAATTATTCCAGTATGAGTATGTTTTGCCTGTTGCCAAAGCTGAAGAAAATCTTTGAAGATTTCAAATTTCTGTTTGTCTGGTGTCAGATTTGTATTATCATTATGCAATCTGTGTCAAGTCTGAATTTAATGACATGCATTTGTTTGTTCAAAAGATTCTACAACTGACCCTTCATCCTCTAAAGCTTTTGCTCTATGTTTGTTTCACGTCTCTGGTTATCTGTTATAATTACTTTTGTTGATATTAAAGATTGTTGTTTTTTTATTCCATGATAACAGTGCCATGTTTATATACACAAATAAAAGAATCAATCCCATAAATTTAGGGATTAAATCAAGGATTAGAATCAATCTACACATATAAATAATAGAAAAAGGGAAGAATTTTCCTAATTACAAAGTTGGAAAATGTTTCCCCAATGATACAAAATATTTCAATTGTATTCCCCAAATATGACAACTTTATTATCAATTTATCTTGTATTTGGGCTCATGATCAAAGTTAAACAAGTAAAAATGACACTCCATAGTGCACACATAATTGATATTTGCATTTATGAAATTATGTCTGCCTTGTTTTTGGACAGCTTATCACATACTTCATACCTTATTTCCCCTTTTGCTCACTAAAGTGGCTTTCATTATGGGGTGAGTATTTCAGGTCATTATTCCAGCTCCATTCTGGGTTAGTTACCCAGAAATGGCAAGGTTGGCTGATGCAACACCTGTGATTCTTCCTACCTCAATATCTGATAATTTCCTTCTGGATCCCAAACTCCTTGAATCCAAAATTACCGAAAAATCGAGACTGCTTATTCTTTGCTCACCGTCTAACCCAACAGGATCTGTCTACCCTAAAGAATTACTTGAAGAGATAGCCCGGATTGTTGCAAAGAACCCAAGGCTTCTGGTATAGTCATACATCCATGACGAGATCACAAGTGCTCCAATGTGTGCAACCTATATGATATTTCCTTTCAAGATCATAATAGTTGATTTGTGCAGGTTATCTCTGATGAAATTTATGAACACATAATTTATGCACCAGCAACTCACACAAGCTTTGCATCTTTACCGGGAATGTGGAACAGAACTCTAACTGTGAATGGATTTTCTAAGGTTAGTTTGTAATGTTCTATTTCTGTTAGTTGCATGATGTGTTGTTGATCCCTCATTCTGATTTTATACTGAAATGCCTGTGCTCTATTTCATAGTATGGTTGTAACTTTTGACATGACATGGAGCCTGGAGGCATCCAAATTTGATTATGATGCTTTTGAGCTGTTTTCCTATAGGCCTTTGCAATGACTGGTTGGAGGCTTGGATATATTGCTGGTCCCAAACATTTTGTTGCTGCATGCGGAAAGATCCAAAGTCAGGTATGCTACATTTTTTATTAGCCACTTTCGTTAGCCTTATCCTTTACATAATACTTGTTTTGATTTCCTTTTGCTACAGCCTACATGACATCTTACAGGTTCTTAGGATCAACAGATTCCTTTGGAATTAGTTGGAATACTGTTGCCATTTAATATTATATGCAGTATATACAGGCTGATGCATCTTATTGAATTTAGTTCACTTCAGGGGCAAGTAGTATAGCTCAGAAAGCTGCCGTTGCTGCATTAGGACTGGGCTATGCTGGTGGGGAGCCAGTTTCTACCATGGTGAAAGCATTTAGGGAGCGAAGGGATTTCTTGGTAAAAAGTTTTAGAGAAATAGATGGTGTCAAGATATCTGAACCCCAGGTGCAATTTTTTTTTTTTCTTGTTCCTTAAATATTTCTCCTATTTTTGTTTTGTCTCTTCCTTTTCCTGTCTGCTTTTCTACTCAAACATAATTTTTCTCTTTTTCACTGGCAGGGAGCATTTTATCTATTCCTTGATTTTAGCTTCTATTATGGAAGAGAAGCTGAAGGATTCGGTAAAATTGAGGATTCTGAGACCCTCTGTCGATATCTACTGGATGTGGGCCAGGTATACTCATTCAATGGCTTTAAAGATTTTAGTGGGATTTTATGAGCAGGAAGTTTTCAAATGGGCTTTTATTTTACCGTGTTCCCTATAAAGTAGTCGAGAAGGAACTAAAGAATAGCTGTTAATAGCAAAAGCCAAAAAGTATGTTCTAATTTTTGAATTATGACAACAAATGAAAGAGTAGAAGTTATCTGAAAGGTGTCTTCCAGGCCCTTTCCAGTAAAGTTTAGGCCATCAACATGTATACGATTTTCAAAGAGAGGGAAAACATCGTATTGTTGAACATTTAAATCTCACTAGTCATAACATTATGTTTGCTATTTTGGCTTACAGGTAGCCCTGGTGCCAGGGAGTGCATTTGGAGATGACACTTGCGTCCGCATCTCTTATGCCGAATCCCTTACTACCCTACAGGCAGCTGTAGAAAGAATTAAAAAAGCACTTGCCCCGTTAAGCTCTGCTGCACTTGTTTAATATTTTGATGATTTTGTGTATTTTATTTTAATTTTAATGTTGGTAAGTGTGTATCGTGTTTATTCTGAAAATAATAGGATGCGAGTACTTTTCCACTAATGAATTGATGCAACCGTCTCATCAATGGTTTGAAATTATAATAAATTGCCCCCTTTTTGTTACGTGATACATTGGAGAGGCAAGGGACTAGAGAGGAGCAACAGCAACACCACGGGGTCTCTCTCAATTTAGGAGTTAGGTCAAAATTATAAATAGACTTCGGATCAGCGCTACCAATACATAAGGTAATTAACTTAATTGCTACATTATTACGTTGCTCGAAGTGGCCAAGGGGAAGCAAATTAACAAGGCTGTGGGAAGTGTTAAAGTACAATGTATTGTGGGACAATTTTCTTAAGCAACTGTATTTTAGAAGACTTTGGTGGAATAGGTAAAATTTACATCGTTCATTTCTATATCTCAAAGAATTAGACTTTGATTTCAATATCTTTAGTGTAAAAATAAAACTATGGAATGCTTTAAATAGCCACAACCAAATAGCGTCGATGACTCCAACTGCTTGTAGAAAATATTGCCTCTGGAACTGTATGCTAATGTGTCTCATTTTCATAGATGTTTTATCGAGCGTTATAATCATAACCGCAGGTCTTGGTTGTTGCGAGTGTTTGATTAGCTCTGATGAAATTATCGGTAGCTACAATGGTGAGGTCAGCTGTTTGCAATACTTTATAAATTACATTGTACCCAAAGCAAACATGTGTACTCAATCTGGGTGAATGAATAATCTAGGATTTATTCTCTCACTAATCTAAAATTTGACAATTCAATAGAAAATTAACGCAAGTTTCGTTTTTGGGGAGATTGAAGTTGTGGCGAGTTCATCTTTGGCACGAGGAAGCAGAATCGTACGACTACGTACGGAACCAACACTAACTAATGAAAAGGGTTGATGACTAATTAAGTATTACATACTCTAACCAGTGCGAGAGTATGTATATTTTTGTATAATTTTTTATGTTGATGGATGTGAAAACGGGTGTGGGTGTCTCGCACAGAATCTAGTAACCTATTTTGACGAAACAATGCGTTACGCCCCTTAATTAAGCCGGACCTCGTATGCAAAACTTCCATGAAAGCCCATTAATAATGGATGAAAATAAAAGCACAATTTGCGCATAACTTGTAAGCCCAATTGATGGAGAGCAGTTGGGCTTGCAAACATAGGCCCAAATTGTAATATAATAGGAAAAACAAAATGTTAATTAACCCGTCGTCAGGAACAAAGACAGAGATTAATTATTTAATTGACACAATTTGCGACATATGATAAGGTTGTTTTGGCATAGAATCAATTCCAAGATAGAAGACTGGTTGAGCTGCCCCTAAAGCACAAGTTTGCCGATAGGCAAGGTTAATGTTTGATTAGAAGTTTCCTGTTGGAAAGGCAATGCAAAAGTTGGAAAGACAAGAGCGCGTGGAAAGGAAGGAAAGCAATCTTAACTCTCCATATCAAATATTCCCATCAACACCAAACTTCAACATTCTCAAGAAGCTAAGGAGCCCCTTCCCTTTCATGCATAGTGACTTCACCTTGGAGACAATCATCCTTTACACACAACTACAATTGGCTTTCCCCTGCATGCACTTTTCTCTCCCAAAAGGACCACATTCCCATCTTAACTTTATCTATATATAGTAAACAAATGAAACCAAGTTGAAGACAGGCAAAGAAAAAAACAAAAGCCTTGTGATCATGGACGTCTCTTATTCATGCAACGACAACGCACCCGAGATTGTTTTCTTCGATTTGGAAACAACAGTGCCCAAAAGGAGTGGAGAGCGTTTCTGGGTCCTCGAGTTTGGTGCCATTGTAGTCACCCCTCACAAACTCACTGAGATTGAGAGCTACACCACGTTGATAAGACCCAAAGACCTATCTGTAGTTTCTGTAAAATCCACCAGAAGTGATGGAATAACTCGTAAAGCTGTTGAAAACGCACCATGTTTTGAAGATGTTGCAGACAGAATATTCAGTATCTTAAATGGAAGGGTGTGGGCGGGGCATAACATCCAGAGATTCGACTGTGTCAGAATCAAAGAGGCCTTTCATGATATCAATAGGCCAGTACCTGTACCCGTTGGAATCATTGATTCGTTGGGGGTCCTAACTGAGAAATTCGGAAGAAGAGCTGGTAATATGAAGGTATGCAAGTGATTAATTCATTCTTCACACAACAAACATAATTATTTCATGTTCTTAACTGCTATTGTTAATGCTCATGCAGATGGCAACACTGGCTTCTTATTTTGGCCTTGGTCAACAAAAGCACAGGTACACATTTCTAATAACGTATTAATTTGAGTATAAACCAATCAATTAGACATCATATTATAAGAGTCTAATTATATATAGAAGAGTTTTTGACAACTTATTTATCCAAAATAAAGAACTTTTACAAATAGAGAAACTCTCAAAAACTTTTCTATACTCGTATCTAAACAGAATCAATATAACTTTTAACTACTATATATAATGGCTTTTGTGAAACGTAATGATATGGATATGTGGCTATTTTTAAGCAGGAGCCTAGATGATGTTCGCATGAACTTGGAGGTGCTTAAGCACTGTGCAACGGTGTTGTTTCTGGTGTGCAAATAATCATTCTCCGTGTTCAATTCTACTTGGTTCGCTTTGAAAGCAAATATTCCGGCTAGCAGCATGATTCTGACACGTTTTGTTGTGGCTTATTGGTGATGTTAGGAATCTAGTCTACCAAACACATTGCATGGCAAGTGGTATGGATCTCCCAGCGTTATGACAAGAAGCAGAAGCAATGGGAAATCTCCTTGCAAGGAAGAGAGTAGCAGAAAATCTCCTCCAACTTCATTTGGATATCAGAGAACAGTACCCTATGCTAGGGGAAGTTTGGGAAAGGTTCTTATACATTGCCATGATATTTGATTTTTAAGTGCATGCATATTTGGTATAGATTATTTTCTGAAATATGTATAACCTCAAATATATATGGTAATATAATATCAATGATAATTTTGAAACTCCTAATGTAGGTGACTGAAAGAGTGAAGGGATTGCTGTGTAAGGCACAAGGGCAACCACCACTTCAACAACTACTCAAGCATTCTCATTCATTACTAAGATGAAAAGAATTGACAAAATGGATGCCGGACACCCGAAAAAAGGCCTTGGCGATTAGGAAGAGAAAGGTCTCGCGTTTTGTTGAGTTGGCATATTGAAACTTGAAAGGAAGATATGCATGCACAAGATGCTTCAATGTTTTTTTGGGACACATCTGATATTGTGTCATGATTCTAAAGCTCCAAAAAGAAACTTAGTGGCAGCCCAAATTCATGTGTTTACTTCAATTAATTCATTTGTGTATAATTCAGATTCGGATTCTTGAAGCACATATACTTCAAGTACTTGTAAATGAAATCAAAATAATGAACAGTGCCGTCAATATAACGAGTTTCATAGACAAACTTGGATTTTCCGTTCCATAATCACAAATATTTGTTGATTAAAAGTTTGTTTGTTATTCGGAGATAGCAAACCAAAACTAAAATGCTGATTTTTGTAGGCTTAAACTATTACTAGATGAAATTAGAGGAATACTTAGTTTTTTGAAATTTAACTAAAGATTACTCAATAAAATCTCGTGTCACCTCTCATTTGTGTTTTTTGGTGTAAAACAATCCGTACAAATTAGCAAAATTCAATTAAATGTTCCACAATATCTTCTTTTTTTTTTTTTCCGTGCATCTTGCCTACTTTCCTACAAAGTGCTAATCATACGTTGAGTTTCTGTACGCTGATGGAGACATAAACTTTCACACAAATCATATAGTTGTTTTATACATGTTAGGATAGGCACAAACCAATATAATTCATAAGTGTGTGCCTAAACAGGAATTGATTATTCTTCTGTCCCACTATATTGTACTCCGGGGCAGGAAATCCAAACACACAAAAGAAGCATCATAATCATATACGAGTACAATTTTACAACATTATTCAAACCAGACACGAAAGCTAAGATTTTAAACAAAGACACGTTTCAATCAGTAGCAATTTAGAAATCCAGCTTGCAGTCAATAGCTTCTCCAATAGTCAAGAAGACCCTTCCTCCAATTCTTGTCACAAAGTTGGTCGCCTTCAGCTTGTAAATCACTTGCCAACTTGGATTGGCAATTGCTAGCTGAGCCAAATTAACACTAGGATTAGGTAAATGAGAAATGCTTAGTGACACTAGTCCTAATACACTTTTTATTATTAATTATTAGATAAAATTTATTAGAAATTAAATATCAAAGTCTATATATTCAAATAAAATTTTATAGAAACACTTCAAAGAAAAAAAAAATATAATAAAAAAAATCTCTATAAATTAAAATTAATTTATGTATAAATTAATTCGGAGAAGTTCCCTTATATTACTTCTCTAAAAAATTATTTTTATCTTATGTATAAGTTAATTTTAATTTATAAAAAAAATATTTTATTTTCTTCTTACTTTTTTTTGGTCTCTTAAAAGTATTTCTAAAAAATTTATCCAAACATATAAAGAAAATGAGGTACCCCTTACCTGTTTCCCATTTGAGACCAAACTCTTATTTAGTTGCTCTAGAGAAGCAATTCCTGAGGTGTCGATGCTCACCAAATCTACCATAATAGTATAATGAAATAAATTGCTCAGAAACTAATTACCATGTATTGTTACTACATACAACACAAGTATAGGAAAAAAAAATTAAATTTATACGTAATTCCTTAAATATTTTTTATATTATTTTTTAATTAGAATCGCAGTTTTATCTCGGTAACTTGTAATGATCTTGAATGCAGAACTTTATTAATGAAATGAAATTTCAACTCTTGTTGAAGATCAATTCCAATGAGTTTTGTCCTATTACAAATCCACACATTAATCATCCTTGGTGATTGCTTTTGCATTTAACTTTTATTAGTTACAAAATATCAGATAACGAAGCAAACAAAGGTAATTGATGCAAGTAATTTGTTATTTTTTCTCTCCACCCCCTCTCCCATTTCTAAAATTTTCTTTCAAGAGCCTTCAATTTCTGATACTTCATAAAAAGATAACTTACTGGAGGTGTCAAGGATTACGAGCTGAATTATGCTACTGATGTTGCCTTCCGTGTTCCTCTCTGCCTCTTCCCTAGTGATCCACTTCAGGATCCTTGAAAACAAATTAGTTGCAATACATTATATATACAGATCAAACTCAGTTTAATTTTATTTAATAAGAAATAGCAGAAATGCCTGACAAGTGCATATTATTATATACCTTTCTCTGACTGAATTGGCGTTAGAAAAGCAAAGCAATGCAGACTTTACGCGTATTATTGCAACTCCAGGAGTCTTAACAGCCATAGGATACTGTTGTACATTGCAGAACACATCTGTGCCGGGTAGTCTTCCCAAAGTTTCTGTGCCTGCTCCAATTGAGATCCAAATTATCTTTGTCAAAGATATTGTCACCTGCAAAATGAATTCCAATCATCTCATTTCACTCTTTATTTTTCCCAAGAGTACATTATTAATCACTCCTATAGTCCTATTGGATTTTTGAGCCATACAAACCCCTTTATTTTAATTTTCTTTAATTATTTTTGAGTTTATTTTCTGCACTTTAATCTCAATGCATGGTCTTTTGCTAGAAAGCATTAGTTTATTTCCCAAGACAGTGCAACACTATTAGACCTAATCAAAAGCACCACCTAAATTAAAGGAGCTAGATAGTGGGCTAATAATTATTATTCCACATTTGTATATATTTTGGATCCTTTTCAGCTTAATGAAATTCCTAAGGATGATAATGGGGCTCTTTGTTCGAATCTGAAGTACGGACCCAATAGAAGAGTGTGAATCGGCCCCCACAATATTGTTTAGTCTTTTTCATCATGTTTTTAATTAATGCAAAAAAACCTAAATATTCACAAAAGAGATGATAGTGGAAGTGTGACACAAGATAGTCAATTGGTACACATGCAGAAAATATGCTCATCGATGATAAAGAGAAGTCAAACTCAAAATTGCTGAAGATTAAAACTCTTCCTATCTCATCTTCTTTTCAAAAACAAAGTTTTCTATAAATAAAAAAAACCCAACAATCTTTTCATGCCATTGATATCCCGAGGCATTGGAGTTTCCAAACGCATCCACTTTCAGCAGTGACACGATTGGACTAACATTCATTGCTTTATCAAAAATCTGGTTTGCTTGTTAATCCAATAAGGTAGTGGAAAATGGTGATTTCTATGCAAGTCTTTTAGATATGTCAAACTGTTGCAGTAGATATTGTTGAAAGATTTTTTGCATCTCTCATGATTGCATAATAACAATATTTAATCTACGTCATTGTCAGTGGCTCAAAGATTAGGTTGTCAACTTAATGAACCAACACTTATCTAAAATTTACTTTATAGTGAAGGGTTTTCAAGTGTTGGATTCCATTTCCATGGCATAAACTAGTGGTGATTCTGAAGGAATATTCATTGGTGGAGGAGGGACTACACTACTGTGAATGAACATTGTGGCACGGTTGATATTTTATTAGTGCGGAACTGTTGCTAACAACTACGTTCCCATTATAACAGTGGACCTGGAACTCCAACGTTGACTATTAAGAGAATCAATAATATGTTTGAATATCAGTTTACAAACATTTTTAAAATCTTATCTATTCAAAAATTCAAAAAGACTCTAATTAATATCAATAACAGTTAGATAATGATAAAGTGATGCGAAATGTGATAAAATAGAGTGAATAACACTATGATTTCAATAACATAAACGATGACAGAGGATAAACAGATACATCATCTCATTTTAATTAAATTAATTATTAATATATTTTAAAAATATTATGTTTTACACCTCTAATTTTATATATTCAATCCACTTATAATTATTTTTAACATTTATATTTTGTTATTTATATATATAATAATGATTATTATTAATTTTTATTTTTTAAAAAAATTGTTGTCCCTAACTTAGAATATTGGATATGGGCAGTGAGGATAACTATTTGCACGTGAAAGCAAAAGGTGGCTTAGCACTTACTGCCACTAGCAGACCAATTTCCACTGACGCAAAGAGAACCCCGAAGAAGGCTCCAATGCAAGCAAGGAAATCAAGCTTATCAACTTTCCATATTCTGTAAGCTTCATTGATGTCTATGAGTCCCGGGAGTGCTGAAAGGATTATTGAAGCCAGAATAGCAGTTGGGGTAAAGTACAGTAATTTCGTCAAACATTGTAGTGATATCATCACCACTATGGCCATCACAATGTTTGACGCTAATGTTTCACAACCCGCACTGAAATTAACCACCGTGCGGGAGAAAGAACCTGCACAAAATTAATTAGTAATAATATTAATGATACTCAATGTTAGTGCCAGACCAAAAACTTGCAAATAAAAACCAAAAAAATGAAAACATTGTTATTATTTTAGAAATAAATGGAGTCGGAAGCTATAATGAAAACATTGTTAATACTTAATTCAGTTGCCAATACAAATTAATTTTGGTCGTTAATTTTGAGACATTGCGAGAATGATATCTATAGAAAAAAAATGGTAGTTCATATTTCCATCTGTATCAAACTTAATTACCAGTTGCAACGTAGCAAGAGGTGAAGGATCCTATGATGTTCATGAAGCCTAATGACACCATTTCCTTGTTTCCATCAAGATGGTATCCTTTCATGGATGCAAAAGATCGGCCAACAGAAACTGATTCCTATGATCAACAAGATTATAAAATTTAAAAATGTATATAATTAATGGAAGGGTTAGTGAATGTAAGATGAAGTGTAAATTGGGTTCTCACAGTGAGTGCAACAGCAGCAAGAACTGGTCCAATTTTGGCCAATGCTCCAATATGGGGGCTATTGAACTCAATCTGATTGATAGAGATTGGATTGAGTCCTCCTTTGATGTGTCTCACTATGTTAACTCCACTTTTGTCAGATCGTGTCAGAAAAACAACAAGAGTTGATATCATAACTGATACAAGTGGGGATATTGCTGGCAACCAGAACAGTTTCCTATTCCTTTTACCCTGCCATGCTCAGTTATTAATTTGGTCCGCATTAGACAAATATATATTATATATTTTATAAATAGTTCATAAAAAAAAAAAAAACAAGATAATTACTTCTTTGTGTTATATATAACACTCACCAGAAATCTGGTAAACAGGATGAAAATGAAGAATGAACATCCCAGGACAAAATTGCGAGGATTCCACTGCAGTTGAACAATTACAAGGATTCAGTTGGGAAGAGTACATAGATCATATAAGATTTTGCATGTCTTAATTCTAGTTAATCTTAGTTAGCTTATAGATTGGTGCAATATTTATTTCAATTTACATGAGACACAAGGTGCGTTAATTAGTTCCTTATTATTATATATATCCTAATACAATTTATTTTTTTATAATAGTCAGAATCCAATAAGTCAAATTGGTTGAAATTGGACAACTAGAAACTATAGTCTTCAAACTAAACTGAACATATGTGAAAAGAAAAAAAAATTGTAAACCAAATATATTAAAAATTTTTGACAATAAGTCGATGTTCTTTCCAATTATATTAAATAACCTCATTAAATTATATGTTGTAGAATTAAAAATACCCGTATATATATATACATATATATATATATGTGTATATATTATAATTTATTGAAGAACTTGAACATGAAAATATAAAAAACGTGATCTAAGTCTTATACTTGATTAGAATAATATAATTAAATTAAGAAACTATAATTCTTCTTAGAATAAATAATTTAATCAAAGGAGAATTATAGTCTCTTTAAATAATTTATTAACAAGAAAAAACATTTTTCTTTTAAAAATAGAAGCTCATAAGATTTGTGCCACAAAATGAAAAAATAAAGTTACTGATTAGTGGATACCTTTCATGCGTATAGATTTTTTTAAAATAAAAATCATTGGTATATTAAATAAGTTTTTTTTTTTACAAAAAATTTAGATTAGGATAAGATATGATCACATATAAGATTAGAGTGAATACCAAATTTTGTGAAAATTTTCAATAAATTATAGATCATCTACTCTATTATTGACATAAGTCTACATGGAAACACTTAAAATTCCAATTTACAATTAAAGTTCATAATTTTTCTTTATTGTCAAGTGCGGGGAAAAAAAAAGTACTACAAAATATTGAAAGCATTACTAATAGTACAATATTCATCATTTTTAAACAACAAAAAAATTAATGAATATGTACTTATAAATGTATTTTATTTAACAGTTAAGCTTAAAACAATATATCTAATTTGATTAATAGTATAAAATTCTTTATATAAAAAATATATCAAAATTAAATTATTGAAAAAATAATTAATTACCATAAAATTTAGATTTTAGAGTATATATAATGATATTTTTTAGGAATATTTGGAAGACTAGTTCTGAGGAATGCAATATGTAGGGTATGTAGTTAATACTTAATAAAGTGGGTTAGTAGATTTTTGTACTTTTCCACATAGTTGTTGGACTAAAATGGATAAGTATGTAACATAAACATACTGGATGATGAACCGATTCCCAGACGGATTTGATGACAGAGATTATGTCTGTTTTGTTGGTAAAATGATTGATCCCAAATAGTCCCTTCAGCTGTTGAAGACCAATTATTATAGCTGCTCCCGCCATGAATCCAACAATAGCAGCATGAGACAGAAAATCCACAATGAACCCCAACCTATTCAATTAATCTCAAGGTTAATTACTATATATGCCATTGTCATGCATGAAAATTAAAATTACTACCCACCTGAAGAGTCCAAAAGCAGCTTGAAATACACCAGCAAAGAAAGTGGCAGTGAAAACAAGCTTTCTGTAACCATTTGGATCAATGCCAGGATCTATTAACTTCTCAATCATTGATGACAAAAGAAGCGATACCACAGCCACCGGTCCAATCGCTATTTCTCTTGAACTTCCCATTACAGCATATATAAGAGGTGGCACCACACTCGTATCTAATTTGATTAAAACACGTACTCGTTTCAGATTTTTAATTTCAAAATGTAATTAACAATTCAAGTGTGCAAATCATTTTTCTTTTCAGAAAGAGAGGGAAAAGAACATACAGAGTCCATATTCAGGATCAAGCTTTGCTAAAGTGGCATACCCAATGCTCTGCATTAAAACAGAATTAATAGTGTTTCATTATTTATACGAATAGTTGCGTACATGATTAATGCGTCAGTGAGCGTTTCAAAGAGATAGACTAACTATAGGCTTTTAGGAATTTATTTTAATAACCTTCATGGTTTATCACATAAATTTTATTATAATATGATTGGAGATTCTATTCTATTAGTGATTATATACTTAATTTGACTATATTAATTACTCGTTCACGTGAAATCTATAATAATAATAATAAAAAGAATTATTTTTTCAAATAATAATTTCTCACATACTCCATTAATTTGTGTTGTGTGTTATATATATAGTTATACCTGAGGAATGCAGAGACTTGCAATGGTTAGACCTGCAAGTAAATCGTTCCTGAATTTGGTTTGTGTGTAACTTTGACCCCAACGAAGAATAGGAAAAATGCCCCGCAAGAAGGAAAGTACAAGTCTTTGAGAAGAAAAGATATTTTGGTAAGGTGAGATAGTGTTGGTGACAGAAGCCATCAAGTTGTGGCACGTAGTGGGGGGATCAGGAGCATTGAGCACCCACTGAGACCTTTCGTAGTGTTCTGAAGGCACCTTCTCAGTGTCCACCACTACCATCGATGAAGCCATATTTGATTGAAGTGTTTGGGAGAACTCTCTTCTCTGCATCAAAGCCTAACTAGTCCTTGCTAGCTCAACACTTGCCATGAACAAGCTCACTCACAGCTGTGATCGTCAATTGTTTTCGCAAGCAATGTTTTGAAGGGCACGTCGTTAGTAAGGACTAAGGAGCATCCAACACCCTTTTAAAAGGAATCATTCTACTCCCACGTCATTTTTTTTATGATAACTATCGAAGGCATAAAAAAAAGAAGAAGAAAAAAAAAGTGAAATTGTGAGTGATACAATGGAAAGAAAGAAAAGAAAAAGAAATATGAAAAGGGGTTGTAAAGATTGACGTTAATTAAAGTAGAAAAGGTTCGTCTAAATAATCCGATTAAGTAAAAAAATAATGAAAAGGAAAACGTGTTGTACATAATGGATTAGTCTTCATTATTAGTAGGTTAAAAGGCAATCTTAACAGCTTGATATGGGCACCAAGACATTTTTTATTTTTTTTTTATTTATTGCATTTGGCAAGTTGTGTTTTAAAATGATGTGTTCGATACATTCATACATACCAAGTTAAAATGCAGCAGTAGGAGAATACTGTATAGCAAATACTTAAATATTAGACAATTTCTTTTTTAATTTTAAAAATAATGTTAAATTTATTATTATATTTTTTAAATATTAATTATCTTGATAAATTTTTAATAATTATTTAAATAAGATGAGAATGATAACGGTGTCAACAAGTCACATAATAACAGTGACAATAAATAGTAGTAACAATAAATACGAAATATTTTATGCTAATATTTTTTTTTTTTTACATTTATGCCTATGATTCGAAGAGAATAAAATAAAATCACCAATATCTTTATTGTATAACCTATAAAAATGTAGTTTAACAACATTCTACTTACACTATTTTTATATCAATAATTTAAAGATATACCATGGATGTGATTTGCTAAACAACCTAATTTTACCCGTTGCAAAATAAAAAGAAAGTTTAAATATATATATATATATATATATATATATATATATATTTATTGTTTCTTATAACTTTTTTTTAATCAATTGTAATCGAAATTAGTATTCAAAGATTTACAATTGTCAGACACTTATAAAAAGAAAGGTATACCTATTGGTATTCTTATAATTTATCTAAATTTTGGTGTTAGTCTTTATATGTAAAGAAAAAAAATTGTTTGTTGTCTTTATTTTACATGTTTACATACTTTATTCTATTTAGATTCCAGACTCTATAATTTTATTTTATTTATAAAATTTTAGTCCCTCTACTATGTATATATTCCAAATATTGGTGCAAATGGTGGTCTTTGCAAGACAATTGTTTTGAAATAGGACATGTATGGATAAATATTTTTAAAAACAATTGTAGGTGAAAAAAATATGAAGAAAAAATAAAAATAAATTTTTCAACAGGATAACATTAATTCATGTATAAGTTAATTTATAAAAAAAAAATATTAGCTTATAAAAAAAAATAAACATTTGCATATACTAATTTTAGTTTATAGAGAAACAAATTTATTTTTTTTTCTTATTTTTTTTTCTCCAATAAGTATTTCTAAAAAATTTATCCAAACAAACTCATATTATTTAATTGTACTAAGGACCAAAATTAAAAATATAAATATAAATATAAAAACCAAAATCAAAATTGAAATAGATTATGGGACAAAAACATGTTTAAACAAAATAATATCATACAAATTAATCTATATAATATTTTTTTTGTATGAATATATAAAAGAATGTTTATAATATAGTGTTCCAGGAATATCTACTTTACTTTCAAGCTCACATATTCAATTACATAGCGCAACTTCAAGATTGAAATATGGTTGCTAGGCTATGTTTTTTAAAATAAAAAGTAAAAGGAGACTTATCATATTAATTTTTTCTCCAATGCTCCATAATTCTGAGTGGCGTCGCATGTTTGTTAGTTTAAGCTTTGATGATAATGAAATTTGGAAGTGGGAGCAGTCAGGTAAGATTGTGTAAGTGTACTAAAAAACAAGGAAACAAACAAAATTCTAAAGATTGGTGATGGATCAACCATTCAATAACCATACGTATGGTAGTGAAGATTATTACGATGGTTCACAAAAATTTTATAGACAAAATAGGCTTACATTAATTTTGATGCATGGTGACCAAACTTCGGTAGATCCTAAAGGCACTTTTATAGTAAATTGTATAGTAATGTTGTGTTTATAACAAAAAATTGTGTAAAAATTTATATAATATTATTTGTGTCTATTTACCTATTTGTTATACGTTTTTTTGTTGTTGTATGCATTGTATTACTCTAAATTATATAACAAATATCAAATAATTAGTAAAAGATTGATTTACGTTTTTAACTAAAGATTGAGATTTGATTTTCAATTTGAATATTGAATTACTTTATCTTCATAAAAGTTAATAATGTGAAAATGAGTTATTCTTCCTTATTAAAAAAGTTATAACAAATTAACAGAGAAAAATGTAAGATACATCATAAATACAAGATGTAACTTTTATCATTAAAAGATCAATGATTACATGCATGTTTGAATTACCATTTGAAATAAGACAAACAAAATTTCTTTTATTTCAAGGTAAAAAAAATGAGAAATAATAATTTGTTGCTTTCACCCTCAACGAATGAGGATTTTTCCGCTATAAACCAAGCACACTATACATCAACTTGCATTACAAATGTTGTTAATAAACTTTAAAATAAATTAAATGGTTAATAATTTAAAAATGATATTATGTTTTTTATAATTAAGAAAAAAGCATAAATACATATTTTTTATATAACAGTAGAAATAATAACAAATTTGCACTTGCATTAAAAAGCTTTAATACATATTAAAAAATCATAAAAATTAATCAAAACTATGAACTCATAATAGTCTTAAGCTTGATAATTTCTGTAAAATGATAACTGTTATTGGCCTGAGCCTTATTAGAGCGGGCTGCCTACTTGCTAGATAGTAAGCCCCCTTGCATTCTGTTCTTTTGGGCTTGGAGATAATTATTTGCTTCGAATGGTGCAGCGAATTCCGAGTTCAAAAATGACCAATTCTTTCTTAATTTTGTAATGTTCAATAACAAGTTGTAATTTTTTTTTTATTAGTTTGTTCCCGGAGTATCCACTGTCGATAGTAATGATTAATCTCCTCATTACGAGGGAGACACTTCAAAAGATGAGATAGCTGGCCCCAAGATTTAACGCGACTGCATACACAAAACAAGATTCGAATCCCTGACCTTGTTTAAGTGTGGATCAATCCCTACTGCTCCAATAAGTC